AAAGTTTAATTAATCTATATACTAAAATTGAGTTAATCTTTCATCCTATTTTCCCTATCAATGATCTATGTCTGTGTATATAATTTAATAAAAAAATTATCTATTAGTAAGTAAATTTTTATAAAAAACTCAAAATAATTATGTGGTTCACATAAAAGAGCTCCAGATTCACAATGGTTCCCGTTCCCTAGTAATAAAATAATACTTTATCATATATCATATGATTTTAATTAATATATTTATTTTATTTTTATTAATCATTATCATTTATATTGCTGCACCTTAAATTAAGAAATTGTTAACTCTATAATGCAACATATTAGATAATGATCAATATTATAATTATAATTACATTTCTATTATAAAATCATTTATTGCAGCTTTTTGATAAGAAATATTTAATTATACTTTTATATCATGTTTTAATCACATGTTTTACTATGCCTTATTTTCACTTAGGTAATAATATACTATTCTTTTGATATTTATCTTTCAAATTTAAAAGAAATATTACTTATTAATTTAAATTATTTTTAAATATATTAAAAATTATCATTAAATAATAATGTAAATTTACATTAATTACATTAATTAATACCTTTTTTATATTAATTTAAGATTGAAAGTTTAAATATTTTTTTATGAAAACTAAAAATTTATATAATTTATTTAATTTTATATTAATAAAAACAATAAATATAAAAATTTTACATTTATTAAATTTTTTTTTATAAATTTAAATATTAATTATTTATGAAAAATCTCGTCCCGAAACTAGATATTGATTTACCAAAAAAGTAATTTTATGTAGCTTCTACTGCGATTTAATTAATCTATGTAATTTATTTAATAACAGTCAAATTTTTTTTTTGCTGCAAATGATAAATTACAGAAGTAATGAATGGGAATGTAATGATGAGTGAGATGCAATAAATTAAGTATATTACAAAGATAACAATTTTACAAGTAAAAATAATCTATATTAGCGTTCTCCAAATATAGCGCAAACAGTTAATTCTAATCTTCTTAAACCTAAATCTCTTTCAAATTCTTCATTATTATTGCTAGTAATAATTTTAGTCTTTTCACTATAAATCTTTTGTACATTAATTAAATTTTCAGTGAGATATTTAACCCTTTGTTCTCTAGAAGGGTGATATTTAAAAGAGGGATTTTCTTCGCAATTTTCCGATGAATGACGAACGCCATGACCATCATCATCATGGGAATCATCGGGAACTTTAGGCGAAGATATGTTACACATTAATTCCCATAATTCGATTGCTTTGGCCGGATCGTAACCAGCATTGGCCATGATTTCCTGACCTAATAAATCAGCTTCTTGTTCTAATAATTGAGAATGCTTTTGTAAATAAACCGAAGGTCTCGACAAATTAGACTCTCTATTCATTCCAGGGATAATACTTTTGATAGTATAAAAAAATTCTCGTAATTGAGTTAAAGCCTTAAGGGTGAAAGATAAACCATAAAATTCGGAAGCATGATTTTGTAAAATATGGGCGATTTCATGAGATAACACCACGGCCAATAAATCCTCATCATAATCTACCAAACGTAGCCAACAAGTAGTTAAGGTTATGGTTGAACAAGGATAAGACACACCATCCAACAAATCATCATTTTTAATCAAATAAACGGTTGGTTTTTTTATGTCATCATTTTGCACCAAGTTTTTGTTATTTTCCCAAAGCCGATTCATTATATGTTCAATCAATTTATGTCTAACATCATTCTCTGATATGATTTCTTCGGATGTGAGAACATTTTCTACGCATTGATTAGCTTTATGAATTAACTTTTGATCTTCCCATGGCCATAATAACATGTGTCTTTTCCTAAAGGTATTCGGGGCTGTATCAGAAGTAAACAAATACATTGCCGGTACCGCTAATAAAGCGGATCCGAATAAATACGATATTTTAGTACAAATCGGTGGTGAGAGAGTTCTGGAAGCCGCTAATCTTAGCGCTAAGAAATATGGTACGCATAATGGTAATGAAAATAATATCGTTGGCAACACCGGTATTATTGCTGCTTGTGAACTACTGTGAAATGATGGTTTCGAATTTAAATTATTTAAATTGTAGCAATTTATTTTTGATCTCGCGTGTAAGGTATTATTATTATTGATAATGAAAGAATTGTAATTTCTTTGGATTGATTTATGTAAAGATACATTTTTAGCAAATAGATTTTTTGAGATCAAGTTTTTCGATATTACTCTTCTCGCCGAAATTGAAAGCATTTTTTTTTTTTTTTTAAAGAAAAAATTTTTTTGGTTGTTCAGCCTGATATTTATAATTAAAAAAAAATTTTTTTTTTTTGATCCAAAATTTAGGAGATAATCATAACACATGTTTAATTTAACTTTTCTACTAAATAAGTAAAATATGAATCGGATGTTGACGAATTGCTTGTCAAAATTTGATATTAAATGACATATTTTATATCGATGGGCTAATGCAGATTTTTAATTTTAATGACATGATCGGAATAATTCGGGGAATGAGTGCACAAATCGACAATATTACGGAATGTGATTGTGACGCAATGATATCACGTGCCGAGCAAAAAAAAAGTTCATCTTTTCGAAACGAAAATTCTTTCCCAATATATGTATGAAGAAATGATGAACAACGTTTCCAAAAAATGCCGTACTCTATTTCCACAAGAGTTTAATGAATTAATTTATGGTACTTTAAATAAGGCTTTTTTTGAAAAGGAGAAAAATCGTTTTAAGTACAAACAAAAAAAACAATAGACTAATTAAAAACCTAAAAACCAATTATTTCCACTTTGTAAAAAAAAGGTTCTTTGTCTTGTTTTCCTACATTAAAATGTGGTGTACGAATGACGGATAATATATTTAGCAAATGAATCACAGTAAATCTTTATATACCATGCGCATTGTTTGGAAACCGTATTTGGTCCACAAGAAAACGATGAATAAGTAACCTTGCACACGTGACTTTCTTTGTTTTAAATTTCCTCACAACGACATATTAAATGTAAAAGCATATATAAAAAGGGAATTGGACGCATACCCCTCTCTTTAACAGAAAGATACCTTTATTTCCTCTTCATTGATAAACATCACCTCATTCTTGTCATCAAATCCGCCGTTTCTTCATCGTCAACCTTCCTCTATAAATAAAGAGGGTATTTTTCTGTTGATTTCGCTTTTCTCTCCCCCTTCCCAAACATTTAGCCCTTGAAGGTGCTAAATTCACCAGAAACAAAATGGACGAAAATTTTTATAATAATTATTACATCTTTAATACAAATTACATGATTAGGTTATTGTCAATATCATTTGTGTTAATATGGTCAATTTATTATATATTCAACCAGCCGAACGCTCCAAATAAGAACAATTCGCCGCCTCAGATTATTAATCATTTTATTAGTACGAGAGTGATTGGTTTAGGGTTCATCATTATTTCCATGGTGTTGGAAATCGTTTCAGATTTAGTAACCATCCTTAATAATAATGATGATAAATCTATTCCCAAGCTAGGATTATTACCATTAATTTTGTGGAACTTTTCATTGGCGACAAAGTCATTCGCAATCTTTATCGCTTTGGCTCGTTCTTCTACCTTGACAAACTCCCTATCAAAGGAACCAATAATTTCACGTTACATTTATAATTTTAGCATCTACTTCAATTTAATAAATGGCATAATGATCTACCCCTCTTTAGTATGCATATTGGTGTTCTACAAAACGATTTGGAATCGATCTTTGATGATAACACAATTCTATTACGTATTCCAAGTAACCATTTGTTTGACCTTCTTCTTGATCTTAAACATAAGGATGAAGGTCGCCATCAACCAAGGGATACTAATTTACATAGGGGCCATGAAACAATTTCGAAAATTTTGTTCAAAGACCTGTTTAATCATCGGATTTTTGATTTGTGAGATCTTGTCCTTGATGATATTTAATTCGGATCAATTGGTTGGTGATTTTATACAAAGATCGTTTTATGGGACGATGATTATATTGGGAGTGATCATGCAAAGTAGTTCGGCTGTTTATACCATCACGGTTATCATTTTATGCACTCAACTTTCTGGCCGATCGGATAATAATACCAAAAATGTGCTAAATCATACGTTATCCGATTTCACCAATTTCATAAATAACGAGGAAGCTCCAGGGTTCTCATCAATGGCTATAAGAAAGTACCTTAAAAAGAATAATCATTTTGAGAATAATTTTGCTGGGGTTCCCGGGGTTCCTCGTAGGAAAGATTTGGATGACGTGGAATTGGGCGATGCTTTTGAGGAGAAAAAACAAACCGTTGATATTGTTGTCAACAAAACGGTTGTACATGAGGTTGACGTTAAACTGACCGCGTAACAAACAAAATATTTCGAACACTTATTAACATTTACCTACAATATTACTTTAACGAACACAACATTTATATATATAACACACATATTTTTGCATTTTCCTTTATTTTATTTATATCTTTTTTTTTCTCATATACATACATATAAATCATATAAATCATAGAAGTACATATACACTTTGTCATTCATTTTAGTACAAACTTTTTTTTAAAAAAAAAAAAAAAAAAAAGAAAATACCAAAATAGAATAGAATTTTCATTTCCCTGGAGGAATATCCGATTTAAAAAGAAAAACCAACCATCACAGCATAACTTTGTGAAATTGTTTTTTTTTTTTTTCTTTTTTGTAAAATAGTTTATATAGAGTTTTCTCCAATTGTGTAAAAATTATAAAAATTTTACATTCTTTTTATTTTATATATTCAACAATTTCAACAATACCTACCTACTTATCCCTCTTAAACCATTTTAATTCGAAAGATAATTTCTTTTATCGCATGACATCTGCCAAGAAAAGAACATTTTTAATCTTTAGGTCTCAATGGTGGTTAAATAAGAAATAAAAAAGCATTAGACATTTATAGTTTTCCGATAATCATTATGTTGCATTATTTAATGTTTTGTCTCTCCTGATGGGGTCTCAATCAAGTTATGGCGTTCGCTTTTGGACAATCATAACATTATTGAAACGCAAATATTATTCCTTTATTTAGAAACGTGCATTGGTTCAAAAAAATTTTTTTTCTTTAAAATGTAATATTTATTTTCAGATCGTTGAATTAAAATTTAGAAAAAAAATTTTTCAGTCCCACGAAAACCTTTTATTTGATTACACCATGTGCGTCACAATTTGGTCTTTACCATTTATGAGTATTATGTAACTTAATTGATTTGCCATTGTCTCATCAAAACTTGTACTAATGCTTCGTTTTTGTCAATTGTCCATCCAAATCACAAAGATTCAAAATGAAATATCAGAGTTATTACTTTTTTTGTAACCATAAAAGGTTAAATAATTAGCTAGCAACTCGATTTTACCATTTGTTTTATTGTAATTATCCTATTTAGATAAATAAGATTCAGCCTTTCTATTAATATGAAATTTTATCAAGAGGCAATTCGTTGGTTTGAACTATTGATTGAACCTATCAAATATTATTACTGTTTCGGGTAATCTGTGAATTGTTCTACGACCTTGCATTGCACTTATGTTTATGCGATTAAAGAAAGAACATGTATGAATATGTTGTACTCTTGTTTCAAGTTGGCACAATGTATACTAACATTTCCGTATGGTGAAAAAACTTTTTTGCAAACGAGATCATTCAAGAGAAGAATTAAGATAATAAATTGATTCTGATATGTTTTTTTGCTTGTTTAGGAATCAAAGTCATTATATCAAGGGTTCAAGAATCAAAACTTTATTCGCGAGAGGAGCTTTTACCAATTGATTGGATGCGAATTCCTATCAACAATCCTTCGTTTTCTAAAAGGAGAAATCGTCAACCGATTATTTACTTATCATCATATCAAACCCTGAAAATTTTGAATTTAATTTAAATTTCTAAATTGGTTTATTGACAGGATGAAATATTCAATTCTTTTGGTGGGTTAAAATTGTTTTTGTATCAGTTATTGTAGGAAGTTGGAGTATAAAACTTAAAAAATAAATACCCGAATAGAATTATTGGATTGTATTTGGTTAAATGAATAATTTAAAGGGTTAGCACATGAGAAAATAGATTTAGAAATTCATAGATTTTGTCCAAAAAAAAAAGTTATTATTGTATCGAACGCTTGTAAAAATCTATAAATATGCTTTCTTTATTATCCTGAAATTTTTTTTTCCTCCAACGCCATTTTTGTTCATCGTCTCTAATTTAAAAAACAAAAAAAAATTATTCTCGAAAATAATTTCGAAATTTTCCTTAGTTGCTTTAAAAAGGATATAACAAATATATATATTTTTATTGATATATATATATATATATAGATAGATATATAAATGCATACAATGATGGTAAAATTCTTCTTGGCTGTTGTTTTAACAGCTTTCCTTGCTACAAATGTTAACGGAGTAAATTACACCGTTCAAGTTGGCGTTGATGATACACTTGCTTTCTCTCCAGACAGATTTGATGCAAATGTTGGAGATAGTGTAAGTATATATTATTAAAAAACAAAAGTTTTTTTTTTTTTTTTTTTTTTTTATCTTTGTGAATTGTGAAACATTCATTAATTCATTTGTTCAATAACGTTTTATAAACAGGTTGTTTTCTATTGGGTTTCACAAAAAGCAAAACATAGTGTAATTGAAGCCGATCGAGAGGCAACGTGTATGAAATCCAATAAACCACTTGCTTTCAAATCAGAAACGTACACAGGTTATATGGAAGCCCCTCCAAAAGCCGTGTGGCAATTAGATACGGTCGGTCCATTATACTATTATTGCGATGTTGGAACACATTGTTCTGAAGCCAGTATGTACGGTGTGATCAAGGTTCTTGAAGTGGGAGAAACGCCTCAAGTACCTGGTTATACTAAACTTCCAGCACCCAAACCAACAACTACTGCTGGAGCCAAAACAGGCAAGAAAACTAAAGCTGCGGCTGCTGATGAACCGTCAAGCGCAAATGTTGACAAACAAGTATCATTTGCTGTTATGTGTAGCGCTTTGATACCTTTAGCTGTAAATTTAATATAATAATTAACGTATGATTTATATTCATATTGTTTAAAAAAGTTAATCTCGCAAGACATTCCTTTTTACTTAATTCACATTACTTATGTTTCATGTGACATCTTTCTTTTTATTTGTTGAAAATAATAATCGAGGCGCGTTTGAATGTAAGATTCAAAAAGTTGATTCAAAAAGTTTAATAAAAAATTTAATGTGTTAAAGTATTTAAATTAAAAATGTAAGCGGAGAATCCATTAAAAATCGTGCCAAGGTTTATTACATACTGTTATTAAATTCTTTGTATCTTTCAAAGGAAATGAGGCATGATTGAAAAAGTTTGCCAGAGAAAAACTGGTCTAAAAATAAAGAAATCACTTGGCAAATCTTATCACTTGGCAAATTTTAGCGTACGTATTTATTTGTTAAGTAAACGATCGACAAATACGGAAATTCCAAGTATTACAATGATTGTACAATAATAATAATAATCAAATATTTTTATAAATACGGTTTTATTCTTTCCCTGGATATTTTTTTTTTCTTCATTACCATCAGATAAAAAAATAAAAATAAAAAAATATTAATTCCACCCGTTGAAATATAATAAAAAAAAATATGGTTAAATTCTCTTTCTTGTCTATCGCCTTGGTTTACCTCGCTACAACTGTCAACGGTTTAACTTATTCCGTTGAGGTTGGTGCAGGTGGTGTTGATGCTTACACGCCAAACAACTTTGATGCAAATGTGGGAGATACTGTAAGTAATTTTTATCTTATCGTAAAAAATTATTTTATTTGTTCATTTTTAAGATGTAATCGTTTATATAAATATATATCTATTTTTTTTTTTTTTTTTTGAAAAGGTCGTCTTCAAATTTGTTGACAAAACACATGATGTCATTCAATCAGATGAAGAAAATTCATGTATCAAATCCGCCAAAGCAGGTGCTTTTTATACGGAATTAATGACAGGTTCCGCAAGTGCTCCCCCGGAAGCCACATGGAGTTTGGATACTGCTGGGCCAAAATACTACTTTTGCAGTTTTGCAACTCATTGTTCTGTTGGTAAAATGTACGCTACGATCAATGTCCTTGAAGAGGGAAAAACACCAAAAAATCCCGGGGTAAAACAGCCTGACTCTCCTGTAAAGCAACCTGGTGCTCCAGCTGATGATACCCCGAATGTACCAAAAACCTCACCTACTACTAACTCAACCTCTCCCGATGCAGGAAAATCCGCTCCAAAATCAGCTGGTAGCGTTAGCAAACCAATCCCAGTTGCAATTGTTGGTGGTGCCATGATGTCTTTGGCCGGTTATGTTCTTGTAAACTTATAATCATCATAAGAATTATATTAGTAACGGAAAATTCACAATCCAATGTAATACATGTTCTTAATAAATCTGTCGGAAATCTAATTAGAAAATATTCCTTGTACAAGAATTTTCCATCTTTTCTAGATTTATTTGATTTAATATATTATTAGTAATCATTATGAATGATAATTATAAACATAGCAATAAAATAAGATAAGTTATCCATTCAAAATAATCAATAATGAATTTACTTTCACGGCAAAATTACCTCATATAATAAGGTTTTCCATCTCAACGATTAAAAATCTGATCACCGATACAAATTTTCACATGATAACTAAGCAAAACCTTTTTTTTGGCCCTATTTGATTGTTCTTGTGGCTGAAAGTTGTCATAGAAAGGCATCTTTGTAAGTATTTAAGTACAAAGGTTACTACATATGGTATGTATTACAAATATTACGCTCCCATTTTAGCATCCAACTTCCTTTATTTTTATGGACGTTATAGACGTTATGAACAAGTAATTTTCTGGATCAAAGTCAATCGCGTGAATCGCAAACCAATAAAATATTATTCTATATTATAAAAAAATAATTTCTGGAACCGACTCTAATTTTAATTGAACCAGAACCGGCTTCTCTAAGATCGTCATCAAATATTTGTTTGATAACCAAATAACCAATCAAAAAAATGTTTTTTTTTAATTGAATCATCGCATGCTCTATTTCCTTTTTTTTTAATTTACTTTAGGAGAACCAAAGAAGATCCGAGAGAATCTTCCTACCCCTTTTTATACTACTCATCATAATTTATTGGAGTTAAAAAAAATATCAATATTTAATAATACCATTTGATATTGGAAATTATTTATCAATAAATTTACTTTAAAATAAAAATAAAAGTTTAACATTTTGAAATGGAATTGTTTTATTAGGGTTCTCAATTACAATATTTTTAAATTTTTTTTTAGATTATAAATATGGATTAATTAAGATTATAAATTGCAATGTAGAATTAACAATAGAAAATAAGAAATACATGTACCGGGGGGAGCAAGAGTGTTGCATGCTTTTATTTTTTCAATAATTTTTATTTTTTTACAGGAAACAGCAATTTTTTTATTTTTCGAAACTGACATTTAATATTAATGTCTATTTGGCATTGATCATACTAAGTTTTGGTACTCTTTTTGCGATATCTTCTTTTAGCGCCTTTTCAAGCTCTTATTAGATCAATTAAGAAGAGACTGGATTTGTATGATATGTGGCCTAGCTGATGTAATCCCTTCATCCTTCAGAAATTAAAAGCTTGAGTATATTTAATGGAAATGTAACTGGATATATAAAAAACCTTTTTTATTATTATTATTTTTTTTTTTAAAAAAATGTGATAGCTTCAAAATCTTTATTAAAAGTAAAATATAACAATAATATAAAAAAAATACAAGAAAGGAAAATACAAAAACTTCTATCTAATTTAAATTAAGTCAACCTTGCATCATTTTAGACTAATAACCTTTTCAAAGAAAAGGAAAACTCAACCATTCAGAGTGAAAGGTCTGGTTATTACTTGTCCAAAAATTTAACCAGTATTATTATATCTAAAAGATGAAATAAAGAATAAAGGAGAATTTGTAAAAGGGGTAAGAAGTGCAGAAAGCCACTGGTTTTCTAATTAGATCTTTCGTCAATTATATTAATATTAGCAAGTTACTTTATATTACTAAAAAATTCATATCATTCTTTTCAGATTATATGTGATATCATGTGAGTTGAATGAAAAATATTAATAATTAAGGTGGTAGTAGTATTGATATTATTTGTAATACTTTAGATGCTTTTTACAAATTCTATAAGTATTATATTATACTTTTGATAATATCAATAAAGCAAATTTGATGTAATTAATATTAGGATTTCTGATAAAATTCATTGTAATTTTAGGTTGTTCAAATCATTTAAGTTGTGAAGTAGATCAATTTATTGTAATAGATTCAATTTTGTTAATTTAATAATTGAATTAATTGTTTGCGTTATGGATAAATAAGTCTAAAAATGATTGAAGTTTTCTAATTTTGCTAATATTTGCAACAGGTCTAATTTTGTAAATATAAATTTGAAGTCTAATTTTCAAGATTTTTAGAGTAAAAAGTATTTTTATGAGAAATTTTACTTTTATACTTTGTTGTAGGAAATAAGATAAGAAGTAATAAAGTTAGATTCATAATAATGAGAATAATCATTATTAAAGATGATTCTACAATTAATTTTAAATTTACAACATGTTGCAATATAAGCCAAAACTAGTTGTAACATATGTTACAATATTATAAGTTACAACATATATAGATCAAAACTAATTGCAACTTACGTTGTAACATTAAAAGGTATAATATATTAATTATAGTTCTTATTTTTAGTTATTATTAGGGTTTCATAATTTGATTTGATATTTGAATATTCAATTTAATTTGATCAAAGAATGATTTATTTGATTTGATTTAAATGAATAGTAAAGCTATCTTCAAAGTTTCAGGAGTAGAGTTTACTAAAAAAAAAAAGCCATAGTAAAAAGTGCCTCTGTGGCTTCAAAAATGATCTTTTTACTAAGAAAAACATAGTAAAAAATGCCTTCATAATTTTGAAAATGTTATTTTACTAGAAAAACATAATAAAAATGCATCTGCAATTTCAGAGATGTTATTTTAACAAGAGAATATAGTAAAAAATACATCTGTGACTTTGGAGATATTAATTTATTAAGAAAATACAATAAAAGACGTTTTTGCATTTTAGAGACGTTATTTTACTAAGAAAACATAGTAAAAAATATCTCTGTAACTTTGGAAATGTTATTTTATTAAGAAAACATAGTAAAAATACCTCTATAACTTCAGAGACATTATTTTACTAAGTAAACATAGCAAAAAAATACTGCTATAACTTTGAAAACTTTTTTACTAATAAAATATTTACAAAACTGAGAAGGTGGTTATTAGGGTTCCTCAAAATTGAATTGAATCAAATATTTAAGCAATTTGAATTTGATTTGATTTTTTCAAATTGAATCAAATCAAATCAAATTGATCAAATCAAATCAAATCAAATATAAATTTTTTTTTAATTTTTATAATGATATATTAAAATAAAGTTATTCTAAAGTTTTAATTAAGAAAATATTTAGTAATTGCATTAAAAAATTTCAAAGATAAGTTTTATAAAGTAAGTTTAGTAACAGGTAAATTTTTATTATTAATCTTAGTAAAATAACTCTACAGTTTCAGTTTTACTAAGAAAACTTAGTAATAATCACCATTGTAACTCCAGTTTTACTAAAAAAACTTAGTAATAACTGCCATTACAGCTTCAGTTTTACTAAGAAAACTTAGTAATAATCACTATTACAGCTTCAGTTTTACTAAGAAAATTTAGTAATAACTACCATTACAGCTTCAGTTTTATTAAGAAAACTTAATAATAATTGTCATCTCAGTTTCATAATAATTTTATTAGTAAAAAAATGTTTCTGAAGTCGCGAATATATTTTTTTTACTAGATTTCTTAGTAAAATAGTATTTCTAAAGCTGTAAAGGCATTTTACTATATTTTTTTAGTAAAATGCATCTGAAGGTGTTTTTACTATGTTTTTTTAGTAAAAAGGCATTTTTAAAGTTGCAAAAACACTTTTTATTATGGGTTTCTTAGTAAAAAAGGCATTTCTAAAGTCATAGTATCACTTTTACTATAGTTTTCTTAGTAAAAAGGTATTTCTGAAGCTGCAAAAGTGCTTTTTGCTATAGTTTTCTTAGTAAAAAAAACATTTCTGAAGCTACAAAAATACTTTTTTACTATAGTTTTCTTAATAAGAGTCACTCCTGAAGCTTTGAAAATGGCTTTACTATTGATTCAAATCAAATCAAAAATTTGAATACTTGATTTGAATTTGATCGAATTGAATCAAACATTAATTTGGATTTGATCAAATAAATCATTTTTTGATTTGAATTTGATCAAATCAAATCAAATATTTAAATATCAGATCAAATTACGAAATCCTACTAGATATAGATATCAGTTTAAAAGTAAATTTAGTAATGTCAAAATAATATCAAGTTATATCATAATAAGTTTATATCAAGATCTAATTCAAAAATAAAAATTTTTTAAATTTTATTTTTTAGGTTAAAACAATGATAAATTATTGAAAATCTCATTAGAAAATATTTCTTTTAAGTATTTACTATAAAGATCAATGATATTTTAATATAACTAAAAGTTTAAATAAAATATTAAATATTTTATTTTTTAAATAACTTATTTTAAATTAAATATTTGATAATTTAATATGAATTAAAATATTATTAATATTTATTAAAATAGGCTGAATATTAATTTCATAATATTTATAATCTTTTAAAATATTAATAAAGTTTTAAGATAATTATAAAAAAAATATATAAAATAATATTTTATAGAATATCTGAATTGACTAATTTGATATATTGATAAAAATTATATGATTATTAAAAGTTTAATTATTAATAAAATGATATTTACATTAGAAAATTTATGTGATGAGAGCTGTAATTAATATGTTGCAACTTTTAATATTGCAACATATGTTACAGTTAGTTTTGATCTATATATGTTGCAACTAATTTTAGCTTATGTTGCAACATATTATAAATTTGAAATTAATTGCTGCATCATCTTTAGTGATAATGATTATAATTTATATGAAGATAATTTAATAGTATTAAAATTTGTTTTATAAAAATATATATTTATAAAGAAATGTAACTATATAGGGTATAATTATATAAAGATCTACTATATAACTATTTTCAATATCATAGATTAAGTGAAAAAAAAATAATTATTCATAATATTACTTTTATAATAGTAAAATATATTAAGTAGTGATATTTACCTAAACTCTTTTTTGAAAAATTTTAGTTTTATCAAAAGGTTTCACTCCTTTAATATTTTTATATAAATAAATATAAAATTATTATATTTTTAATGTATTTTAATTTAAGAAATTTAAATCAAGTTAAATATAATTTTGACAATTAAGTAAAATAAATTCGTCATTAATAAAAAACTAGTTTTATCATTTCAGTTTCATCAATTTCATTATATTAAGAAAAGTAATTTCATCAGGTATCACTAATATTAAATTTAATTCTAATGTATTTTTTGGATTATTTTAGACTAACATTAAGAAAATCTGAAATAGATAATTTAAATGATTTATAGCTAATTTCATAATTCATAGATTATTAATAATTTTTCAGTTATATTTAATTACAATATTTTATAGTATTTTTATTATAAAATATTTTTAATTGCATTCAATCACAATTTATTAATAGTTCATGAATTATGAAATTAGCTGTAATATAAGTAGTAAAAGATTTAACAATTAATAAATATAATTTAACATAAACAATTTTAAGAAAAAAAAGGTTAATATTTTTTTATATTTAAATAAAATTTTAATTATTTATTTTAAACTTATACAAATTTTCTTAAATAATATTATTTTATTTTTAGTGAAGATAAAGTAGGTATTGTAAAATTAAAGAAATAATATATAAAGTAAAAGTATTAATAGATGGAAGGCAGTCAGTAAAAAAGGTAAAAATCCAAAATTTTTGTTAATTTTTATTATTAAGCTAAATTTGTGCATATGATCGAGATTAGCCAAATGGTCAAATAATATAAATTTTGACCAAAAATTAGATTTCTCCCTTTTCTACTGACTGCCTTCCAGATATTAGAAAAATTAAGAAAATATCTATTATAACAGATTTTTTATATGAAATGAATCAAGTATTAAAAGATATTAATATCATTAACTATTTCTAAACCTAAACAAAAATAAAATAAATTAAATATAATTATGATAATTATGAGATAATTATATAAATATTTTATTTCAATATGTATATTTTTATTGAAAACATTTACGGTTAGACTTAATGTAATACAAATTTATCTGCATGCATGATCATCTAATAATATGTTTTGTTATGATATCAAGAGTTTGATTCTTTTATTATATATTTGCTGATCATTAGTGTTACTTATCACTTGCAGCTTATTATGGATAAAAATCATTTTCATATTAAACTGAAACTTGTGTACCCATATTATATTACTTCATTTTGTATTTGTTCATTTGTTCCTTTTATACAATAAAGTAACTAAATTAAGTAATTTGATAGAATATCAAATGCATCATCAGGTTCAATTAATATTTTTGAGCTTTAGTAATTTTTTTCCCCAATATATATATGAATTTTGTCTTAAAATTAAGGTTTTATTAAGATTCTTTTAAAAGTATGAACAAATACATAGTTTTAACAATAAAAATATATGTAAATTTACAAGAGAAAAAAGAATATCTTAGGTTACAAAGGTTGGTTTTCAGTTAGTTTTTATGTAAAATTAAAAAAATCAATTTTTTATAATAAAATAAGATTTTTATTTTAATAAAAGTTTTTAGTCTTTAATTTTCTTTCTATTTCATATATTCTAATGTTATTTTAAAAATGCTAATATTTATTCAATTTTTTATTAGATAAAAGAATTTGGTATCTTTTAACTTTAAAGTATTTATTTTTTCATATTATGATGTTATATGACACATGATTTTTACTTTTTTTTTGTTGATGGTATACTTTATGATTAGTGGAATACCTTTTAAAGTTAAGTAAAAAGTTTGTTTAATAATATTAGAGTTGATTATTTCTTACATTTTAAAAAAAAAAAATTCTAATTAAAATATTTTCTGTTATATTATCCAAGTAAAAAAAAAAAAATATTGGAATTTCAAAAATCTAAGTAAAAAAAATAACATTTATATCAATTCAATGTATTATAATATATTCAGAATAAAATATAAAAAAAATATACAGTACAAGCAAATAAAAAATATATATTAAGCAAAAATTATTTTTAATAGACATACATATCATACCTTTCAAGAGTATTTATTAAAACCTTTCAAACTTTTAATTTAAATAATAAGCTTTATTATATATATCTTTTTTTTTACAAGTGACAAATTTTTAACTTGTTAATACAAAGTTGAAATTTATTCAAAGACATTATTTGTTCAATAATACTTTATTTTTTAAAAAAAAATGGTTTATATTTATTTTTAAAAATATTTTGGAAATAATTATAAGTTTAAAAGCAAAATTGTCTGTTTTTTAATTAAGTTTTAATAGTCATGAACTCAACGAATAATCGTATAAAAAAAAATCTTAAAAAAGTATAATGATAATAAAATTACAGCTTGCTTATCAATAAAGTAAAAAAAAACATGAAATTTCATATGAAAATCACTTGGCAAAATGATCGGTGCTATATGTAACACCATTTGCTACTCAAAATTGGAGAAATGCGTGTATAACTTTACTTATTATTCTAAAAGTGATTAAATTAATAAAATAAAAAGTTTTATTTGAAAGAACCATTTCCGTCGATTTTCTAATTTTACATTATGTACAGCGTTTTGTACAGTATGCTAACCACTTATTTCTAAATACTATAACAGATAACTTGCGAATATGTTATTGTAAGATATCAAAAAGGTATAATGTATAATCATACGCATGTACTGAATCATTAAAAAAAATTGTATATAAATTCTCTACGTTTTGACTTGAAAAAATCTTTCACCTTATCATAAAATGTCATTAAACGAAGCAGAATGTTATGATGCAATTGATGATTTAGTCGATGTAGTTATAAATTCACTATTTCCACTATTGTTGTTTAGTCTGTTTAAAGGATTTAAAGAGAAAAAAGAAGAGAAATATTCCTATATAAATCTGTTTGATGATATTATTATAATTTTACCTATCATCCTGATCTCTTTTATCTGCAGAATTCAATGGTTTCATCATTTTCTATATTTTTTAAAGTCATGTATGTTCTAAGCTTTATCTCTACAATTTTTTATGGCTATTAGGACGTTTTTTATTATTAAAGAAACATATCAAATCAGGTAGCTTCTTATATAGCATGGTACTTATTCTTACGGTTTTTACTGAATACAGTGGAATTTTATATGGAGATTTAAATATTGGCTCATATTTAGGAAAAGCTTTTACCTTTAGATTATTTACTTGTACCAGTGAGTTTTGTATTAGCAGATATAGACATAACATATGCAAAATCTTCGAAATATTGCATTATATTGTTTACTATACAATTATTATATTGAATATTCTAATTATAACTAGTCGTGTAAAAAAATGGGAAAATTGGACGAAAATATTTAGTTTCTTTATTTTGGCAATGCTAATTATTTATATAGCTTTTGTATCAGGGTATCTACTTAGTAGTAGCAAATATATTACAAAAATTGTCTTTTGTGTTTCTATTATATCCATTATCAGATTAATCGATAGCTTCTTAGGTAAATCCAAAACTGCAATATATTTTTATATTAATGGGAAAAACAAAAGCAAAGGAGAAGACAGTGGAAATAATCAAAATGGAGAAAGTAGTGAAAATGATCAAAACGAAGGAAGTAGCGAAATAGTATAAATGTAGTCTTATTTGCAGGTAATAATGTTTTAAGCATAATTTGAATTGAGTATTAAGAAATAAAAATATTTATTATTAAGCTTTTTGATCATTTCTTTTTTTTTATTTGTAGTTTACGCAAATAGATACACGCATATTGGCAGATGCACAAAGAAGGATTCTTAGAAGTATTTCTAATTGTAAACTTGTAACTCAAAATTTCTTTTTGTCATGCAATAAAAAGGGCTTATTTCACAATTAAGGAATTTATATATTACTGCTAATGAAAATTATTACGCAATTTTGTGTTTCACTATAATGTAAAAAATTTGTACCACTAATATGCCTGAAACTTTTATGATTTAATTTTACCATTTTATCATTTCTGAATAAGTGATTTAGAATTTTATTTACATATCGTAAGGAAAAAGGAAATTTCAGGATGCCTATAAAAACTCAAATTTGAATATTGTCGAATAGTCTAATACCGTATATACAAATGAATTTTTTATGCATTAAACACCCTTCTGCATAATTAAAAGTTGTTACAAATTCTTATCATAATAATAATATATTTATTGAACTAGCTAACCATCCAATCCCTTAGATTTTTTTTTCAATCTCAATACTTATATACTTTAAATATAGATGTCATAATTTGCTTAACTTCATAGTAGTAGTACTGTTGTTTCATTTAAACCTTCTTGCTAAGCTCTTGTATACATAAGACCTGTGCGATAAAAATAAGTGGATCACAAACAGGTCTGTATAATAGCCGTTAAGGCACTAAAGGCATATTAATTTTTTCAAAGTTATATATGCTAACTAATACCTCTATTTTTTCCCAAACAAATGTGAGAAAAATGTGAAAGGAGGTCTACATGCAACGCAGGACCTTCCCTATAAGTTAATATTGACATCAAAACCATATGTTATGAAAGGCTGAGTACTTCGCAATTCTGAGTTCGTCAGGCGTAAAACTAACTATATGTCTTTTCAGTAGATCTGATCCCTTCATGTGAAAAGGTATGAGGATTCTGTTTACATGTGCTTTCATAGAGCTCTTGGCATCATATGACAATGCTAATTACTATTCTTATCTCCTTAACTTTTTCCCAACAAGATATAAAGCATGTAAGAGTATGTGGAAGTTCAGCCAATGTTCTACAAAAAACTTTCCCAACGAAAATAACGCAAAATAAGGTATTTGATATGTATGTACCAGAAGTTGTGTATGTATTAGAGTGAGTTTTTTTTTCTCACTATGTGGTTGCTTTAGCAAATAAAGCAATATGTCTTCTACCTCCACTAAAAGCCGACATGTTAAAAGAATATGGAATGGAAAGTCTTATCAAATTTTTGCAGGAAGATTTCAAATTAAAACACATAGAAGTTGGTGACCTTTTTACGAAGCTTGAGGAGGAAAAAATCACTGGTAATTCCTCAAGCTAACTGGATGGGAATTTAAGGAATACAGGATGACATTGGGACAAGCATTAGAACTTGAGGATTATATTAAGGAGCTGAGTGAGTGATTAATTTAGCCGAAGGCGCTTTACATAACGTTATAGCCGAAATCTAATGAGAATTATCTTTGATAACAGATGATCAAAAAGTAAGAGTAAATTTAGGAGACATTCTTGTTAAAAAATAGTATTTTTTGTTCACATCATGTAAAGCGATATATTCGCAATTTTATGTATTGTAAGCCAGGTTCTGGCAACATTTTATTTCATAAATAAAGCATCTATATATACAATAAAAAAATATTACAAATCATTTCCCTGAATTAATTTTACTTTGTTAATATAATCATAGAATTGATTCATTTCTAAATAATGGGTAAGCTCATTAAAATCAAACGTTCCCTTTGGATCCTTAGTCTTCCTATTAATGACGATCATATAATTTAATCTTGCATCGTAAACGTAATCATATTTTTCAAAATTTTGCAGTTGTAAGTATTACTTTGGATTAGTCATGAACAGACCTCTGGTTTTACATCAATTATTATGAGACTACGAGCCATTACTAAGTTTAAGTTTGGAGTGATGATTGACTGATCAGTTTGATAGGAAGAATTTATTTATCGCATTTGTGTTACAAAATAACTGGATCACACAGCAGGTCTTACCTTAGCATAATGGAGTTTCTCAAATAATCATCAGTTACACAAACTATTTATATAGCCTTTACAATAACACAGGGTTGGCACTTGGCCATTTAGCCAAAATTTTTTTCAAGTTTTGGCTGGCCAAAATGGCCAAATATATATTTATATTTATCAATCTGATAATTTTAATTCAAATAAGTTAAATAGCAATAATTTGGTAACCAGTAATTGTAAAAAGATGAAATATAGCTTATTAGAATCCTTATAATAAGCTATATCAAATGGTAGTATTACCCACCCCTACAATAAATTACCGGAAATTGATCGTCACGATGGCTTAGTTTTTCAAAAAGCCTTAAAAAATAATTATATTTCTTTTTTTGATAATAAATGCCATTGTTAATCTTATACATAAAAAGAATAATTTTTTGTAAGGATTTCTTTAACCAAAAGGATGCACAGAAAAGAGTTGACAAGCAAACAGCTAGAATGAATTATTGACACCTATATTGCCAGTACTAACGGTTCAAAAATATCATCAAATTTTAAGATTCCTCCTTTAACAGTATATGATACTATTAATCGCTATAAAAAAACTGATTCTTCACATCCTATTAAACGTTCTGAAAGGCCAAATGTTTTATCTAATCATGGAAAACATTTATTACAAAGGATCGTTTATAAAGATAGATTTTCTTCTCTTAGTGAAGTCACAAATAAGTTAAACAATGATCTTTCTACTAATTATCATTCAAATACTATTTGTAAATATTTATATAAAATGAAGCTTATAAATTGTGTTTTAAGAAAAAAACCTCTTTTAACTAAAAAACACCAAATTGATCGATTAAATTAGTGCAAGGAAAAACATGATTGACAAGAGGAATGGAAAAATATTGTGTGGTCAGATGAATCAAGATTTGCTCTTTTTAAGTCAGATGGTTGTGCAAGAGTATGGCTTAAGACTGGAGAGGCTTATAATAATGACTGTATTTAACCTATATTAAAATTTGGCAGCGAGTCTGTGATGTTTGGGGAATGTTTCTTATGGTATGGTGTTGGCCCTCTAGTTGTAGTAGAACAAACGTTAAATTCAGAAGAATATATAAATGTTCTTTCAAATAATTTTATCCCTTAGGCTCGTAACTATCCAAACCTAATTTTTCAACAGGATGGTGCGTCTTGTCATACTTCTTCTTATACTACTTGGTGGATGGAATCTCATGGAATTTTGGTTTTAAATTGGGTGATGCAAAGTCCAGATTTAAACCCAATTGAGTATTTGTAGGACTATTTAGATCGTCAAATATGAAAAAGGAAACCTTTGCCTAAATTTAAACAAGAATTGATTAGAGTTGTATAAGAGAAATAGGCAAATATTAATATCAAAGTCTTACGCCGTTTAATTTTAAATATGCCTAATTGTATTAAGAGTGTTATTAAAGCTAAAGGCGGATACACTAATATTAGACTTTTATTTCTTAAATTGTATTTTATAAAAATAGAATTATATATTTTATAGATATTATTTATTTTATAGATTAAATAATAAAAATTGGTTAAATAAAATTTTTAAAATTGTCAATTGTTTTGATCACCATTTATTAGATGATTGATTCCAGTAATTTATTGTAGGGGTGGGTATAAAAAATTTATGATTAATAGATAAATATTTATTTCAAAATATATATGAATTATAATTTGCTAATAATATATTATCTATTGATTCTAAAAATGAAAATTAGTATCATTTGACATAGATCATCATAATAATTTAACAAATTATATTTTAACTTTTTTATAATTACTAATTAACAAATAATTGTAATTTAATTTACTTGTATTAGAATTGTTTTTGATATTTTTGATAAATTAGTATATAATCAATTTATTATATTATTTAAAATTTAATATTAGTTTATCCAAATTCAACATTAATCCTAGATGTGAATCGGCTATATCAGGTCTGAAAAATTTTGCTGAAATTTCTGAATTATTTTCTTTAAATATCTTCCAAACTTGTCTATCATATATATATGTCAACCAATATGTTATCAAAACTTTTTCTATCAGCCCACTGACAGATAATTTTTGAAACCTTGTCGACGAAACATAACACTGAGTTGTTCTCGAATGCTGGTAAATAGATAAATTAATTTTGGTTGAAAAAAATTCAAATTATCTGTTTTGTAAGACAATGGTGTATTATAAGGCCGTAACCTACGAATTAATGAATTTAGAAATTTAACGTGATTGCATTTTATAATCGATAAAGTATCATTCTACCAAAAGTTTATCACTCCATATCTATTATAAAGTTTATTGCATTTCATATAAGATACGAAACTATGAAATCAATCTTTGAGGCTAAGCGATTTCTTTGCTAAATAAAGAGTACTTAGAAATTTGTTGAATCTATCACTACCAATTTTAATTAGAACTAATTTTAAAATTTTATTAGAGAATCTGTTGCAGTTTCTGGTACATTAAATCTAATTTAAAAGTTCATTATCTATAATAAAATCCATGCAAATTAATCATCAATTGTTACTTCATCTTCTTCATTTTAATATGATTCATATTTCAGCGGCAAATAATCTTCAAAAGTTTCAGAAATAAGTAAATCATCCAATTCACTTTCGTCTTCACTTATAGGAGATTTGATATGTCATCTTTCGTTATATTCATAATTATCGCTTAAAGAAAACTCAGTATGTTGTTCATCTTCAGAGTCACTCAAATTGTCAGTAACTTGTGAATAATTTATATACCTTCTTATACGCTTTCAAGATAAATTCAATAATTTAGGATAATAATTAGTCATTTTGATTCTTGAAGCTTGTGATTCATCATTAATAATTTCACTCCTCGAAGCCTGTAATTTGATTTCAGCAGGTAATCCAGTATCAAGTATCAATTCGTCAAAATTTGAAAATAATTGTTCGATAACAGAATCACCACAAATTGTTGATGAACTACTTGTCAATTCATGAAAAAGTTTGGTCTGATTTAGAACTAATTTTCCATTACACTTATTACAATAACAAGAAACCTTGTTATCATTTTTTATTCGAATTAGTCATTTTGTCAGCTTATTACCAATGATATTCAAAATAGACCTATTTCTTGTCATCTTAAAAATTTGAAATTGCTTAATGTCAATAAACTATTTATTTATATAAAAATGAAAAAATTAATATAGATGTTGCAACAGAATAATACTTAAATTAATATTTGCGTAATAATCAATACCTGCATTATAATCAAAACTTAAAATAATAATCGAAATTTAAAATAAAACCTGCATTATATTCTAAAACTTAAAATGATGACTGCAATACAATTGTATCACTGCATTATAATCGAAATTTGAATCAATTACTGCATAATAATCAAAATTTTTAAGAATTACCGCATTATAATCGAAATATAAAATTATTATTGCACATTACATTAAAACTTAAAGAATAATTGCATTATAATCAAAATTTAAATCAATTACCGCATGGTAATCGAAATTTTTAAGAATTATCGCATTATAATCAAAATTTAAAATTATTATCACATATTATAATCGAAATTTAAAATTATTATCACACATTACATTGAAACTTAAAAGAATACTTGCATTATAAATGAAATTTAAAAGAATATCTGTATTGAAACTTTAAAAAATACTTGTATTATTATCGTAATTTAAATTAATTACCTCATTAAATTGAAACTTAAAACAATTATTGCATTAAATCGAAACTTAAAACAATTATTGTATTATAATCAAAATTTAAAGAATTAATCGCATTAAAGTCAAAAGTTATATGAATTACATGCAATGTATTATACTATTAAAATAAACTCTATTTAACTGAAAGCTTATAAAAAGGGTTATTTCTCTCAAACTATTTTTAATCAAACTCTTCAATATTTTCTCACAAACAACATTTCAACTCTCTTTTGACAAAAAATTTTTCACATCTTCTCACAAACAATATTTAGTATATCTTTCGCTAAAAATAATATTTTGTCTCTCTTTCACTAATATCGTTTTCTCGTTTTTATCAAATAATATTTCATCACAAATATGACTAGAAATATAGGTCAAAAAAAGGCTGCAACAATATGTCATCAACTATCACATCGTCAGGAAGCGACACGTTAATAAAAAACTCAAGGAGTGACAGAAACTTCTAGTAGCCAAGAAATGGCAGATACTTCATGTCAGCAGGTACTGACAACAAATTTGACACCTTCAAGTAGTCAAAAAACATGTCAGCAGATTCTAATAACAACTTTGACGTCTCTTAGTAGCCAAGAAATATATCAGCAGGTTCTGGTAACAACTTCGACAACTCTTTGTAGCTAAGAAATACCATATCGACAAGTTTTGGCACTAAATCTAAGTAGTCAAGAAACACTAAGTTAGCAGGTTCCAACAACTATAAATCAATTAGAAATACTAAAATCTTCACATCAGCAGGATCTGGCAAATGAAGGACCATTCAAATTATTAGTATCATCAAATATTTCTAAAGAAACTCAACTTCAATCTCCAACTTGACTAAGTGGAGATTATAATGTTTTACTTAATTACAGGATTGAAGAAGAACATCAACATGGTGAAATCTCAACAACTAGTATAGTTAGAGATGCTATTCTGGAAGCTGATAACTGGAATTTGCAGGCATTATCGGCTTTCTGTTAAAGGATAACCAAAAGGTCTTCAACACATTGGTAAATAGGTGATAAAAGACATCACGATGAAAGGAGTAGTGAAAGGAGTATAACTCCTTATCGTTAATAATTTGACATTTCTCGAAGTAATGAATTTCGATGTACTTCATATCAATATACACAAGATCGCAGATTAAGACATGACAAAGGGAGTGTAACTCCTTATTAACCAAGAAGAAGAGATGTTTTTTCTTTTGAAACTACTGATTCTTCACTGAACAAAGGTAAGTATAATCAATTTTTAGCAAAATTTAGTCAATATAATTTTTTTAATCAATTTACTGCTAACTTTTCTATGAAAAAGCATATTTATGTGAAAGAATCGATGAGTTGAGCAGGCAATTCAATAATGCAAATGAAGAATTAAGAGATTTAAGGATGAAAATCAGCAAAGCTACTTTATATAATGAAACGCTTATTCGTGAAAATGAGAGTTTGCGGAATGAACTTAGATGAGGTGATGAAGACGTAGAGATTGTTAAGAAAAGAAAACTCAACACAGTAGTGATGAAAGTGATGAAAAGGGGTCTTATGATAATGACGCAGCCAGGATTCGTTTAAAATCTCTTCTGAATTCTAATTAAAATAACTTTAATTCTAACTGAATTTTAATCAAATATAACTGACATCAATCAAATTAACTTAAATAGGCATTTTTTTTTTTATATTTAGATTGAAATGAGAATAATTTAAAAATACTGCCGACTCATCTCGAAATGAGATACGATCTTAAGTTCAGCAGTGAAGAAAATACTGAAATATTGTGACAAGTAATATCGCATCTCGTCAAAGCCTTAAAAAGATTCAAAATAATATATAAACAAGTCAGAAATTGGCTTAGCTCATTTCACAAGTATTAACAAGTTCGGTTATTATATAAATAACGTGATACTTTAGATTGTGATAATCAGCGATTACATAAAACAATCGTACTAGTGAGGTAAATATAATTAAAATTGATTTTTTTTTAAGAAAAATGAACTTCAATTAACATTCAATATTTTAATATAGAAAAAGGTCAGAAGAATTAAAGGTGTCAATTTATTTTTTGATTTAGGCAATGAGAGAGTTTTGAAATATGATAAGGAAGTGTTATTGAAGATCTTAGGAGATAATCGTTATCATTTTCCTGAAGATTCAGTGACTAATTCAGAAGAAACAGAAACACGAACAATTAATGTTTATAATCTAAGCTGGAGATTAGATGAGATTTGATACTTTTTTAGAAATTTATTTATAATTTTGTTAAAATTTTAACTAATTCTGATATTTAATTTTATTAGTTGAAGGCGTTGTTGTGAGAGGTCGACCATCATATGTTCTCGCTGCAAATCACGCAATTAACGAGAACTCAACATTATAGCAACAATTTTACAATATATATTTGACACTCTCAAAATACTCCTAACTGAACATTTGTAGATCAAAATACTTTAGCAAACACTGATTTTTCAGCACTAGTAACTGAAGTTGAAGGTTAAAATGATGATATTGAAGAAGAAGAATAAATTCAGCATATCATAATTTATAACAAATTTTATTTGATTCTTAGTTTAG